GGAACCCCTGGAATGTGAAACTCACCAATTTCTGTGTGGGCTTTCCACGGTGTGAGCTCCTACGTACAGCCTTCTTCAGCTTCTCTTGTGCAGTACGCTTTAATATGCTTGTATGGGTTCGTGCCACATGTTTTCCCTGAAGATGCAAAGGAGTTTTGGCAATGGTCCTATAGCAAAATAAAAGACCATATTCATTCACAGCTGAGAATGAGAAGACACCTAGCTTCATGGAAGGGTTAAACAAGGAAAGTATAGCTCCAGAGACCTCCTACCTGAAAGGCTAACTCTCAACTGCATGATGCCCTGGGGCCTGGTATAATTTTGTTCACTTTTTCCAGCAGAGTATGCAATGGGATATGGATACTAGGCAAGTGCTGATGGCAGGATTCAACTAATGGGCTGGAAGCCCATTTTTATGATTATGTTTTCATGTTCATTTAGCATGAGCTAAAGCTAGTGGTGGTATACCATAAATCACAGCTACGGGGAGACTGAAACTATAGGAGAAGAAATGTTTGCAATCTTGCAATAAAGTTACTGGAAAGGGCATTGCATGATGGGGAAGCCAAGACTGGGAGGCTAAGAGAAAAAATGTACCAAAGGAAAAATATTGAAGCAAGAGGTAGTTGAAGAGCCTTTTTAATGCCTGTTCATAATGCATATGAATAATATTTTTTACCTATTTTATATTTACCTATATTTTATATATTTTTTATTTTACCTATAAAGATATTGAGTGAAACTCTCAAAACAACATACAGAAGAGGGAGGGAGGTACCATTGAGCCAGGCTATACTCATTCATTATTCTGTTCTCCCCCCCTCTCTGTTATTATTATTATTTTTTTGCATCAGTATTGGCAGTTGATACCAAAAGTTGCCAGCACATTTGGGAACCCCCATTATCTCATTCACAAAAGTATTCCCTTGGATGTGAAAGATTTCAAATAAAGAATCATCAGGTTGAACTCAGATTCAACAGCTTGATAGTTACTTTTCTCCAAGGCCACTCCTCATTGAATCAAGTTCATAATAATAGCCACTCTTATGAGCCTTGCATATGCATTACCAAATTTAGATTGACTACTATGATTACAATGGGACAACCACTTACTCCTGTGCAATAGGGAGGGATTCCATGCCTTTTGAAGATGAAAGAGAACACTCCTTGATGAGGGGTTCTGCATTTTCCTTGTCGCTACCATAACTCTTCCCTTTTCGGGATTTGTGGCTGTTGCCACGAAATGGTACTACCACACTCTGCTTAGTCTTCTTCACTGTTTTATGGCCTGGAGATTCAGACTTTCGCTTCTGCCTCACAGTTCCCTCTTCTTGTTGACTGCAAGACAAGCGGATGTCCTCATCACTCA